CACACACACACACACACACACACACACACACACACACACACACACACACACACACTATTACACACACACACACAGAAGGACATATAAAAGAATTTTTGACTAATTATTTGGTTACAAGCGCGAAATTAGAAGTTATATAAGAAAGTGATATGACAAAAATATTAATAAGAAGATGGACATCTCTCCAAATTAATTTCGAAATGCACCAGATCTTGTTGTATTACTTAATAAATATGAAAATCGGGACGGTTTGGGTGACACACAAAGCAAGAAGAAAAGCTGAATTATTAAAAGCCTACTCCAATTACGTATGAACGCATAAGATCATTGAAATATCTATTTTAAAAAATGGCAGTCTTTGCGATAGTATACGTATAGACGGAATGCATGTTTCAATAAAAGAAACATATGCGTTTGATTTTATTTTACAATTATATATGCATACTATCGGAAAAGAATATCGTTATAAAGAAACTGTAGAACACCTCGACCACCCCATAATAGAAGTAGATAGAAATGTTCTTCATAAAAAGGAAAAAAATTATTGCATCAGATTATATAACCTAAAATAAAATAAAAATTTTGTAAAAAATTTACAAGAAAAATGATAATAAAATAATATGAAAATTATAAATGCAAATTGTAATGTAGCCCATTTGATAAATATCTTTTTCTTTTATAATATACCAACAATAATACAAATTAATAGTTGCAATACTTATGACTTTAAACAATTAAAGAACTTTCCAACTTTACATATTAATGTTGACATGCTTATCGAAAAAGGTTTAGATATAATATAAGAAGTAATTAACCACTTTGTGCATTAAAGCACTTTTGCATCAAAGGAAGGATGCACCAAAAAGGACACTGATGCAATAGTTTATTTAATTAAATTGATACTTTCTTGAATATTATGATAACGATATACTCAATGTCTAGAGACAGTAACAACAAAGAAATAGCTGCAGTTATAATTATTTAGAATTACTACTGTTATTTTCATCTTCTAGAATAATCTTGATTTTAACATGTATAATTAAAATTAGAGTCTTTAATAGTATATCTTCAAAGGATTTTTAATAATTTTTTAATAACAATGGGCAACTTTTAATTGTGTGTCAAAGATATTGAAAAACTTTTACTCTTCAGCATATTTGAGAGTAGTATTAGAATCGGTAAACTCGATTCTATTCTGTATAATAACTGAGAAGTTTAAAATATCCGATATATTTTGGTATAATTTGGATATTCATTACAAATTACTGGATATTTTAAGTTTTTCCTTTTTATTATCATATTAACACATATCGTTGCATAGGTTCTTACTGTTGATTTACTCTTCTTTTACTCTTTTAATCTCTAATAAATAATACCTTTAATCTCTAATCTCTTAATCTCTAATAAATATACCTTGAGAGAAGAGAGATACATTATGCCTGAAGGTAGAGTGGTGAACTCGTTTCCATGAATGTCTAATACAGTCAGCAACAACAAGTCACTTAAGGCACCTCCGCCTGAGAGCGAGCTCAACTTATTATTGTACATTAACAAGACCTTCTTCCTGAACACTTTGCAAAGTGAATAGATTCCCGATGGCACATGTTTCAAGGCGCATTCCGAGACGTCGAACACTGGCTCCGGATTCTCTCTGGCCTGTAGGAAAACAAATTAATCATTACTGTGTCAAAAATTATCATCTTATATCATTACATTTGTCAAAAATTACCGATGAAGATGCAATTCAAATCACTAAAGCACAGACTGACGTAGCGTGGTTTAAAGTTTGCTTCAGCTAATTAACGATGATCAGTAGTGTGATTCTGTAACTGTATTAACAAATTGTTAAAATTGCGCAGATATAGTATATGTTAAAAAAGACGTACAACGACATACAGTAGTGATTAGTGATATTATCATTAACGACAGTTACAGAATCGCACCTCACAACGATTACAATTGATAATTAAAGGTATGATCACCTTAACCTCAATCCTTATATACACACATACACACCAGGTACAATTTGTACTCGAGTCGCGCCTTGTAGTCGACGTTAGCCTTGTTGCCGTACTTTTTGGATAAAGACATCCTTACTCGCATCCGTCATGACAATGCGAGCAAGGATCTCGAGCGGCGGATCGTTCTGCGTTTCATACGTGATAACAATGATAATTATGATAGTAGGTCTGTTCTTTTTAGCTGAACTGTCCATAGACTTCTATGGCTGCGTTCCGAAATAGTGCTAACAATACTGACAGAACTGATACTAAAACCAGCATATTTATCATTACATTAATTTTTATAGCATTATTTGTTTTTACAAAAAAAATCGTTATAAATAAATTATGGTAATTATTTAGAAAACGGGCCTCACCTTCGATTTCTCTGAAACTCACCTATCTTATGTATTTCGATGTGTAGAAGCCGAATCTGAAAGTTAAAATCGTCGTTCGGCTCTACAAACCGAGAAATTAATTGTTAAAGGTGCTAGGTATGAAGTTTCAGTTTCAGTTTCAATATTTGGCTGAAAGCACTTTGCTTTAAGTGATTCTACGCCATTGCTCCGAGTAAAAGCTTTCATCGTATATGTGTATTCATGTAAGGTGTGTTCTTATATTGTACATCCAACTCTTGTTAAGAAATTTGATATGATTGAGAACAATTTGATGTTACTTAGATCGAAAGATAATTCGTGTATGTCATTATGTGTTGTGTATCCAGCCTTAAATAATTCAGTGATTAATCTTCCAGATTCTTCTGAATATAAAGAGCATTTGAATAATATGTGTTATATATTTTTCTCTCTCGCTCCACATTCACAAGTTTCTTCGGTGATAATGTCCTTATCCATAAGGTGCGTGTTTGATCTGATATGATATGATCTAAGCCTGGCTATTAGCGATATTACATCCCTCTTGATAAATTTGTACTGCCAAAACCAGGGTCGGGAGGAAAGATGTGATATTTTGGCACGATATCTAAGCCCTTTTTGCTTAAACTGCTCTTCCAGGATCTTATGAGCTAAGCTCGTGAACTCCGGTCGGATATTTGAAATTGAATCTTCAATGTAGATACGGTTTCCTCCAGACTGCCGACTACTGTTTGTGGCCTCCTTAGCCAATTTGTCAGCCATTTCATTTCCTTGAATACCCCTATGGGGTCCAAATTAACGTAACAACAATGCCAGAAAGTTCAAGATCAATCAGTTTTTGAGCTATTTTAAGTATTAAAATATTAGGTTTTCTTTGGCAGAACAGATTATTCAAGGAAGAGAGAGCACTCATCGAGTCTGTACAGATTGCGACATTATTTTTACCCATTTTAGATACAATTTCTAAAGCATCTATTATTGCCTGAGCTTCTACATTGAATATAACTGAAGATTTTATGCATGCATGTGATATATTAATTTCTGGATCCAGAGAAAAGATACCATATCCAGATCGTCCATTTGGAGCTATAGAGCCATCTGTATACAGAATGCAATTAAAATTTTGTTTTTTAATTACTGAGTCAAAAACCTTATTAATACCTTTAATCGATATTTTTTTGAATCCAGAATAGTAAAAATTTCCAACTTTTTTGCTGTATTTGCCTATTATTTTAAAAGATGTAGTATCTATTTTGAATGAATGAAACTTGGTGAATAAGGGAAAAGATAGGTGACCCACAAGCCTTTTTGCTTCCATTTCAGGAATTAAGTCTTTATACGGGTACACTACAGTCTTTGATCTTATTTTAATTTGAGTGTTAAGATCGCAGCGCTCAAAAGATTCAGAAGAAAACACGTCAGCAGGAGTGGGAGCAGTTAGGGATGATTTTAACTGGAGTTGAGTAAAGTTAGTATTGGGATCTATCAAATTTCTTAAAGAGATTTTAGTGATATAAAATAACCGTCTTACAATAAGTGGCTATTCACCACATTGATCGAGAATAACATTTGTTGGAGTGGTGCGCATAAATCCAAGAACACTTCTCAGAGACGCATATTGTATCCTGTCTAACTTGAGAGACATTGAGGATAAGAGACCAAGAAGAGGTGTCCCGCCATAATCCAAGACAGACCGAATTAGTCCGCGATATACATTGAGAATAAGAGATGGGTGTGAACCCCATCTAATTCCTGAGATAGCCTTAAGAATATTGACCTTAGGTCTACACTTTTCCAGCATGCATGTAACTTGACTTTTCCATGATAAGGCAAAATCAAAAATGATACCAAGGAACTTTGCTTCCTTAGATAATTTTATCAGCTGTCCATTATATTGAATTTTAATGGTTAAGGCAGGATACCACCTTTGTACTTTCAAAAAATCGAAAATTTTTTTTTTGGCTTAAAGTACTCTTTCAAGTGTATAGAATCGAAATTCATCCATTAGAAAGGTGACCGAAACCTTTTTCTAGTGTTATAAACCGGTTTGGAGCAAGCGCTCTTGGCGCATTTTTCGGGCTGCCGAGCGCGCACAGACAGACTATCTGTCTCATCCTACTACTTGTCAATTTACCGACCTAATTATGGCCTCTTTTAGTTCCAAATAGTGAAGTATATGTCGCTAGTTACTTTTTTCATTATAATATGACATATACTTCTATGTTTTATATAGTTCATAACGAATTAGTCGTGTAAACATCATTCACGTGTTGCTTGGTTTTGTCTTTCACAAGTTTCTTTCGAACGTTTATTCATTGTTCATCATGGGGAAGACAAAAGTAATGGAGAAAAAAGGGACAAGAGGAGGAATTAGTCGTGCCTCGAAACCGAGAAGCAGCGGAAGGAAGCCGCTGAATCGATACATGTTAGAAACAGAAAGTGAGAGTGTCAGTACATCGGCAAAGAAACTGAAACTTAGTGAACATGAATATCATACTAATGTGGACGCAACTTTTGGTTATCGTGTGATCAATTTTGTAACTGTTTTTGCAGCAATTTCTGAATTTGTAGTGTGCAAAGAGTGTAAATCTCCCATAAAGTTTCAAGAAGCAAGTATCCGTGAATTGGGTTTTAAAATTGCAATTCTTTATGAACAATGCATACTGAAATATGTAAACTCGTGTCCTGTCATAAACAATCACGCATATGATATAAATCGTCGTATAGCTTTGGCTAT